AAGGTAAGCTAAGGGCCTTCCTTGTTGCATGTGAACAGCCCCTATGCCCTTCCCACTTGCATCTGTCTCTAACACAAATGGTTTGGTGAAATCTGGAAGTCCCAAAACTGGAGTGGTGGCCATTGCTTGTTTGAGTCTGTTAAAGGCCCCTTCTGCTTCTTCATTCCAAATGAAACCGTCCTTTCTTAGCAAATTAGTGAGTGGCTTGCTAATCACTCCATACCCCTTTACAAATTTCCTATAATATCCAGTTAGACCAAGAAAACCTCTTAGTTGCTTAACTGTGGTAGGAACTGGCCAATCCAACATATTAGCCACCTTCTGAGGATCTGTAGACACCCCATCTGCAGTTATAATATGTCCCAGGTATTCTATTTCCACTTGGCCAAAATGGCACTTGCTTCTTTTGGCAAACAGCTTGTTCTTCCTCATGAGGTCCAAGACCTCTTTTAGGTGTACCAAGTGTTCTTCCCATGTCCTGCTATATACCAATATATCATCAAAGCAAACCAAGACATGCTTCCTCAGCAATTCCCCAAAAATCTTGTTCATGAGTGACTGAAATGTTGCAGGGGCATTGCACAGCCCAAAAGGCATCACTAAAAATTCATATTGTCCACTGTGTGTATTAAATGCAGTGAGATATCTGTGTTCAGGGGCCATAAGGATCTGAAAATACCCAGATCTTAGGTCCACCTTAGAGAAATACTTGGCCCCATGTAATTCATCTAATAATTCTTCAATGATAGGAATAGGGTAGTCATGCTTGATGGTAAGCTCATTCAAGTACCTGTAGTCTACACATAGTCTCCAGGTTGCATCTTTCTTTTTCACCAAAAGTACAGGGGAAGTAAATGGGCTTTGACTGGGTTGTATGAACCCAGCTTCCAACAATTCCTTAACTATCCTTTCAATTTCTGTTTTTTGGTCATGTGACACCCTATATGGGTATTGATGCTTTGGTGAGCTGTGGGGTTTGAGGTGGATGTGATGCTCCACTCCCCTACTTGGAGGTAATTCCTTGGGTTCATCAAAGATGTCTTGATAACTTCCCAAGAGCTCCTCCAATTGTGGGTTGGATACTTGTAATGGTTTTGGTACAGTCATCCAAAATATCTCCTCCACTTCATCCAAGTTATTTTCATGTACCATCTTGAATAGGGTTGGCCCACTGATCAGTTTACATTCAGTCATGGTAGTTAGGGCTTGCAGCTTCACTCTCTTTCTTCCCAGAGTAACAGTGATCATCATTTTATTGTAGTCTAATTCAATTGGGGTGCTTTCTTTGAGCCAATCACCCCCAAGGATTAGGTCACAGCCTTCATGTTGCAAAACCCTGAATGTATATGTGAATAAGTGGCCATGCATGTCCCATTCAAATTTTTGAGCTTCTAATGAGCTCACCATTCTTTGGCCATTGGCCACTTTTACCAGGAGGGGTTTGGCAGGTTTGAGCTCACAGCCCAATTCTTTGGCAGTAAGTTCCCTACTAAAGCTTAATGTGCCTCCTGAATCCACCAAAATGTGTAGCTGATGCCCACCAGCCTTGCCATGTAGCCTCATAGTGGTGAGACCATTTTCTCCTGTAATAGAGTTCAAATACATCTGCACCTCATCCATATATTTTTCATCCTCTTGGTCCCCTTCCATTTCAGAGCTAGTGTGCATGTAGACTAGTTCCTTCTCCTCTGTCATTATCATGTAATTAGACCTCTGTTTACACCTATGGCCAAATGTAAACTTCTCATCACAATTATAGCACATCCCCTTTTCTCTCCTTGCAGCCATCTCACTTGCTGTCAGTAATTTGGTAGGAGTTTTTGACTGATTGTGATTTGCTATCTTGCCTTGTGAACTCTGTTGATTGTCCCCCACCTTAGAGTTATGGTAAGCAGTATAAGGTGGTCTGCTTACCCCTATAACCCTCCTGGTGATGGCACTTAGGGTCTCCATCTGCCTCCTTCCCAGCTCAATTGTTTGTTGTAGGGTATTAGGGCCGAACATGGAAATAAAGGCTTGTGCCTCTTCAGGTAGGCCACTGATGAAACTGGCCACAAAGTAATCCTCAGAGTACCCTTTGTTGTTGATTAGCTGCATACAGGCCCTTAATTCTTCAAATTTATCAACATAGTCTCCATAAGTCCCAGTTTGCTTGAGTTTGTTGAATTCTGCAATCACCCTGGTTTCCTTGAGATCTTCAAACCTTGCTGAAACCAACTCAAGAAATTGCTCCCAAGTTATGTCTCCTTGGTGGGCAACTGACTTTTGATACCATAATGCAGCCTTTCCTTCAAATTTCATGGCAGCCAGTATAACCCTTTGTGTGTCAGAAATGTTGGGTATTAGCTTAAAGTATCCATTGCATTTAAGGATCCATGATCTGGGCTGAGACCCATCAAACCTTGGGAAGTCCACTTTTGGCACCGGGCTGATAGCATGAGGTGTTGGGTTTTCCCATTGCAATTTTTGCTTCCCAGAGTGAGTAAACCGAGAGGAAGATCCTTCTCCCAGTATGGATTCTTCATGAGGTCTTTTTTCAGGATTTAAGAGTTGCAACTGAATAGAAGCTAGGATGTTTGCTAAGTGATCATACTTGTTGTTCATGGTGCTGTTGATTTCCCCTAATTGCTCCTTAACTTCAGAGCTGATATGTGCCATTTGTTCTTGCAATTTCATTTCTGAGGCTTCTCTTTTCATTGCTTCCATTTGCAGGTTTTGATCTATTTTCCTTTGAGTTTCCTGCAAATTTTGATCCATTTTTTTCTGGGTTTCCTGCAGATCTTTGAATCTAGTGCTTTCAGCCATATTCCAAGGACAAAAGGCTCTGATACCAACTGTTGTGTAATGGGTTTTTGATTTTATATGTTTTTGTAATTTTTTGGAACTTTTTAGAACTGTAATTTTAGAGAAATTGAGCTGTCTTTGTGAAGAAGAAAGGGGAGAAAAATCAGAGAATTTAGAGTGGAAGAGAGAGAAATTGAGATGAGGGAAAATTGTAACTGCCAAAGTTGGCTACTTCTGATACTCATTGTTTACTTCGCCGGAATTTGCCGTAAAATCTCCCCTTCAGTTATAACAACTTTCAACAGTACCGTAGTGAAGGCAAGGAAAAAACCTATTGTTGACATGCTTGAGAGTATTAGAACTTATGTATGGAAAGACAACATCACAAACTAATGTTGAGAGTCATGGCCTTCAATTTGATATCATCAGGAGCGCTCAGTCTGAGTAATTGGTCTTAGCGGGAGAGCTACTCCTGCCACTCACCTCACGGATCACTCGCTGGATCACAACGCCGTCATTTGAGAAGCCTTCAGCGTTCATCTTCCCACTCATGGTCCCACGTACAAGTAACTCTAATACCACTTGTTAGAAACTCTCTTGAGAACAATACCTGGTTACCAGTGGGATCACGACCAAAACACAAACACAAAAGGAAACTTACGCGTACACAAAAAAACACGTTGTTGTTTGTTGTTGTTGAATTGATAGCTTTTTTTGTGCTATAATATATTGCTTATATAGAGGAATACAAGAAGCTAAATAAGACCTACAAATCTATACTTATATTAAAAGGTATCTCATTTACCAAATTTAGTATACAGAAAAGTCAAAGGTAATTAATGTTTGCTGGAAATAGAATGACATTAATTACAGATTTATTTGGTATTTATAGTTTGACATTAAAGATTTGTTATGGGATAAAAATCAGAACCGATTTTTTACCTTTGCTGGAAAAGTCAAATGTAAGTATAGGTTTGTTTTATTCCATAACATCGGTTTAGTTAAAAAAATCTCATAAAATTGATTTTAATGTCAAGCCTATAAATAAAGATTTAATCGGTTTTAATAAAGCAGATTTAATCGGTTTTAATAATTGCATAGAATTTCAAAGCTGTTATTTATTGTAAAAAAATTAAATTCTAAAAAAATATTTGTGTATATTTTGTAAAATGTTTGTACAAAATGTTTTACTTTAAATTTATTTACATAATTTAAATTAATTATATTAATAAATAATATAAACATACATTAAATATTTTAATTACATAAAACAAAAAGAAGAAGAAGATTACATCTATAACTTATAATAATAATGACATTATACTACAATAAATTTTATAATGAAATAATATAAATATTATACGAGGAACAAGATTACGTAAAATTGTTATTTTTCTTATATCAATGAATAAATATATATAATGAAATTAAATTTATATTATTATAAACATGTGAGCGAGATAATATATTAATTAATTTACGGGCTAGCGCTATCAGACTCAGGTTTAATGTTCCGACAAAAAAAATGACGTTGATGAAAAGATGTAAAAAGATAGATGATCAAACTCTATTATTTTCATATTTTGTAGGCCTGAACGGACAAGCCCTATGGTCCACTCATTTAATATCTCCCGTGAATCGCACGAGCTACTTAACGAACAAGTTCTGTGGAAATAACTCATTAATACTTGTGTCTCGTGCATCGCACGGGCTACGTGCTAGTTAAGATTACAAGAAAACTATAATCAAGTAAATATTCACATCTAATCTAAGAAACAATTAAAGAAAACAAATAAACTAATTTACGTGCACAATCAAATCTGCGAACAGTTAAAATATAAACTATTGTAACGATTACAAGTATGGATAGACTAGACTACTATTCCTGACCTTGATCCCATTACATTCTCATTTCCCAGTTTTCCACTAGCATAGCAAAATCAAATCAGCAAACACAGGCTACTATTCATGATATTGATCCCATTACATTCCAATTTCCCAGTTCTCCACTAACACAGCAAAACCCAATCAGCAAACAGTATGAGACATACAAAACAGCACGTATGAGCATGTCAAGACATTAGCGAGCGAGTACCAATTATTTTTCTAAAGAAAAAACACCTGAGTTTCATGTCCAAACATTTAGTGTCCAAAGAATATATATGTTGTGAGTTCCTTCTGTCATTTCATACATACACACTATATTACAACCTCAGGTGCAAACACCTCTAGCCACAGTTACATTCCCCAACACAAAGCATCTCTACCAAACCCACCCTCAGTATGCTCTAATCCAAACCATCCTGCCCAAAAT